AGGAGTTTGAGGCTGCAGTTAGCTATGATGGCACCACTTATAACCCAGCCTGAGTGACACAATGAGGCTGTCTCTGGGGGGGGGGAGAGAATAATTACAATTACACATCCATGTAGATACACATACAGAAAGACACATGTGTGCCAGGTCCCAGCTTACTGGCCAGGCTGGCCTTGTGGAGATGGCTCTTCTCTCCACTGTCCTGCTGACACTTTCTTCCCCGGGCTTTCAGGAAATCCTCCTGTGTATTACAGTCACCGCATTCTCTCCCACCTGCACTATAGGCCAGGCTTTCATGCACGGATATGGAGGGCAGGGCAGACTCTGGGAGCACTAATGCTCTCCACTTTCAGGGCCTGACCCTCAGGTGTTGAGGGCAGAGGGGAAAGGGGAAGGGAAAAGCTCTGTAGGGCCTTCCTCTGCACTCCTCAAGAGGGCAGCCAGCTGCAGCTCCCCCAGATCCCCTCCACCCTGCCATTGGCTGCACACTTCATAACATGTGGCTGAGGTCCCTGTCTAGCAGACAACCTCCTGGGTGGGGAACCAGTAAGGTGCTGGGCCCATGTGATCCACCCAGCGGGACACACACACACCCGTGCCATGTTAAGTGTGGGCACGCTGAGCGCTGTGGCTGGCCCACTCCCACCTGGAACCTTCCTTTCTTTCTTTTCTCCCTGCCCTGTAGTCATGGAGGCTGGGCCCATGGGATGAAGATGCCTCTTTCCCCATCTAGTAGGACCCCGGTTTTTGCTGGGGATTCTCTGGAAGGACCCCCTACCAAACTGAGGTTCTCTCTTGCTGACTCCTTATCCAGTCTCCTGTGAGAGACCCAGAGTGTGTCGCAGGGCACTGGAGGGAAGTTGCAGAGACCTGAGGGTGGGCTCTGGCCCTGCTGTGCACCTCTCTTTAGCATAAGGAGACTCCTTTGTCCTCTGTTTTGGCTCTAGTCACTGCTCTCTGGACAATAACAAAGTCCCTCTCCACACTGTGTTCCACACAGATACAACATGGAAAATTAAAGATCCAGGATGCTTGTTGCGCCAGCGGTGGCCACGGAAGTCAGGAAGATACTGGTTCTAAATGACTCTGGATGGGTGTACCCTAATACCAAGGCACTCCCTGTAGTCCAGGATCCAAGATGCAGTCAAAAGCCTATCCTGTTCTTCCTTCACTTTTCTACAGCAAATGAGATCTGCTGACTACCCCAGGTCCAGTCACATACACACATACCACATATACATACTACACACAAACACATACATACACAACCCTGCACATACAAATATACACATCCATTCCCATAGCACCCCCCCCCCCACACACACACACACTTACATGCATGTGCTGGCCTACCAGTCCTCAGCCTCACTCTCAAAGGGTAGGGCTGCTGCTCTGCCCCTGGGGCTCACACCAAGGTCAGGGTGCTAGCCAAGAGAAGAGCCTTTGTTTTTCATTCAATAGCTGTACCTACCCTGAGTTCAAAATGCAAATGTGTTTTCTGCCAATAGGCAAGAAGAAAAATAATGATTGCAGAGACCTCAGAAATGACAGCAGAACAAAGACCAACTCCTGGAGTGAGAAGGGAGGAAAACCTAAAGCCAAGTCTCACTTGACTTGCATTAGCTACGGTAGCCTCATTGCCAAATCAGTCCAGCAAACCACCCAGGAACAAAGGGGCCAAGGAATCCATAAAATCACTGAGCTAGAGAGCCCCTGGAGAGGGGAGCCCTTACCGCTCCAGCACACAGGCTCTACACACATGGCTGCTTCCACATCACCTCTGTTGGCTCTAGGGTACGAGCACTCCGCAAATGCTAACCACTATCAGCAACCTGCAGAAAAGCCACTTCTAGCCGTTCTGTTCAGTCACAAGCCAGTGCATCTCTTAGCCCAGATCCCTGGCCATACATGGGGCAGAGAGGGAGGCCTGGGGCCCCCCAGCAGGGCCGGGACAGGCTGGCAGGGAAGCTGCAAGGCGTGTTTTGGCACCTATTCGTGGGCAGGTCTCCCTCCTCTCCAGCCTATGTGTGCTCAGCTGTAAGATGTGAGGCTGCACTGAAAGTGTGCAAGGGAAGTTTGCACTGTTCTAACAAGGATACCTTTGCCTCTGTGGTTCCATCAGCAGTAGCTCCACTCTCTTGTGGGATGAAGGCCAGAGCCCCCCTTCCTGGGCTTCCGAGAGAGGTACCAGAAAACATGCAGTGTTGCAAACTTTCCTGGGCCTTAAGGGCTCACTGCATTGAAGTGGGAAGAATGCTGGGTATTTCCCTCATCCAATCTGCCCTTGGTGTCCTCTAAAGGGTCAGGACTGGAAGAGTCTGCAGAGACCCTTTCAACTGCTTTGCTTTTCACAAGGTGGTACTGGGTTGGGTCAGATCTTGCCAAGGGAGCTGGGTGCAGGCTCTGGGGCTGTGGGCCTTGCTGCTCCCCACTCAGTTGCCAGGGCTGGGCACAGTACTCAGCCTGGCTGGGGGCACAGATTGTGTTGTGTAAATGAATCAACAAATTCATCTACAGTACTGTGCTCACTGAAGCTACTGCAGGGCTGCTCAGAAGAACAAAAACTATCTTTCCAGGCCAGGCATGGTGGCTCACGCCTGTAATCCCAGCACTTTGGGAGGCTGAGGCAGGTGGATCACAAGGTCACGAGATAGAGACCATCCTGGCCAAGATGGTGAAACCCAGTCTCTACTAAAAATACATAAAATTAGCTGGGCGTGGTGGTGCGTGCCTGTAGTCCCAGCTCCTCGGGGGGCTGAGGCAGGAGAATGGCTTCAAACTGGGAAATGGAAGTTGCAGTGAGCTGCGGTCACACACTGTACTCCAGCATGACAAGGGTAAGGCTCCGTCTCAAAAGCAGAAACAAAAGCAAAAACCCCATCTTTTCAAAATGAGCACTCCGCCACTCAAAATGCACGCCACCCCCAGGCCCAGGGTTGGCAAGCTAGGGCCCAAGGTATACCTGGCTTGACCCTTTTCTTCCATAGTGCTGAGGTCCTGGGGGACTGGTTGTGACTGCTTGAGTGCCTGCAACGAGGTCACCATGGATGTCTAAAGGTCTTTTGGCAGCTCTCTCATGTAAAGGACTTGATGTAGGAAGGGAAGGAGGATGGAAGAGGCTACAACCCAAGGTGGCCAACAGCTGCTGCACAGGCACACAGACGTCTCATTTCTTCCAAAGTTTCTCCCCCATGTTATCTTTTTTTTTTTTTTTGAGATGGAGTCTCACTCTGCCGCCAGTCTGTAGTGCAGTGGCGCAATCTCGGCTCACTGCCACCTCCACCTCCCAGGTTCAAGCAATTCTCCTGCCTCAGCCTCCTGAGTAACTGGGACTACAGGCATGCACCACCATGCCTAGCTAATTTTTTGTATTTTAGTAGAGATGGGGTTTCACTGTATTGGTCAGGATGGTTTCGATCTCCTGACCTCCTGATCCACCCACCTCGGCCTCCCAAAGTGCTGGGATTAGAGGCGTGAGCCAATGCGACCCCCACCCCTGCTCTTAAGAATTTAAATTTAGCACTATTCTTCCAACTTTACTCAAAACAGCAGAAACCCACCAATTGTACAGTGCCTTCCATGCATTAAATCCGTCAGTGTGTGATTTATACGTTGGCTCCTTTATTCCCACATTACAGGAAGCCTGCAGGGTAAGAAGCCCTTGCCATTCCATAGAGGATGAGACTGAGGCTGACAGAGGTGAAACTGCCTCCCCAGGGTCCTACAGCTCGTGAGTGGCAAGGCCAGAGGCTGAGGTTGCGCTCTGAGCTCCTCACACTCTAGTTTATGTCCTCAGCTTGCCTCACACAGCGGAGGTTAAGTGTCGCCTGCCTCACTGGCTGTGAAGTTGGCAGGGCAAGAACATGAGTCCAGGCCCAGTCCCAGGCCTCCTCACACCTGGTTGTGTCCCTGCATGAAACCAAAAGCAGGGAGAGACAACTGTGAAGGCGGCTGGGGAGAAGCGACTAGGGGCAAACTAGCTGGAAGTTCTGGCCTCCTTACAACCAGGCTGCCAGCTCCTACATCCCCTGCCCTTGGCTCTCTTCCCACTCAACTCAGCCCTGGGAAAGTCAACACACATTTGTCACCCTGACAGCACAATAAAGAGAGGAAACTAGGGCCTGGAGTAGGAACAGACAGGGCACACAATGCCCTGCACAGCAGGACTGCCAAGCAGAGGCTGCCTCCCACCCAGCATACAGTCACTTCCCTCCTGTGTTCCAGGGTCAACCAGCTGCCCTTTAAAGGCAGGCCCTCAGGTTGTGTGGCAGGGACCTAGGGAGTCTGTGATGTCTTTCCAAAGAGGTCTGTCAAAATGTACTCCCAGGTTGTTGCCTGGCAACCAAATGACAGTGGGACAGGTGTCCCTCAACCCCAACAGCCTGCCCTGTTTATCTGGACTCCTGAGGAAAAAAAGGGGTGTGCTGGCTTGGAAATTTTAAACCAGATTCATCTTAAAACCATTAAGGCCTGTTTGGTAGGTAACAGGGAAGTGAGGTCTTGGCACAGACAGGTGAGCCTGGGTCTGAATGAGTGCATTCCTAGGCCCAGGTTCTCCCTCCAACAGTGATGGCATTCTCACTCTCCCTGACCTCCCTGAATGTCAGGCCAGGAAGTCAATGCAGGTACCTGGCCCATGAGTTACTTGCAGAAGTTAGCGAAGAAGTATGTGAAGTTACTCTGGCTTCTGCCTGATGTTGGGAAAGTCAGCTCTGAGGCTATATGAAGAAGCAGCCAACTGTCCCCTGGGACTCCCATCCCAGCCAAATGAGAATTGTCACGTCAAGCATGTCACTGTTTTCTCGCTTGAGCGGGAGACACTGCTGTGAAGCAGAGGCCCTGACGGGCATGGGGCTGCGGAGGCTTCACGCTTGCTGCTGCAAATGCATGACACGAGCCAGGAGCCTAACCAGCCGGAAGGAGCGTCCACTGAAAGCACACTATCTGCGCTCAGAGCACCCTGCCCTGTGCTGGGCCTGCGGAAGGAGCCCCACACGCACCTGTTAAAGAGGTTATTTCGGCGAACCATCCGCAGGAAGCCAGTGGGGTCAGTGACCGAGTTGAGCTTGCTGTTCATCTCTTCAAACTGCTGGTCCATGATGTCTCCTGCTTCACTTTCCGTTTCACTGCTGGCACAGGCCCTGCAGGAAAAATTGCAGAAAAAGCCAATCAGAGAAAGGAAGCGCTGAGCTACAGAAGTCGGCTCTGAGGTCCTGTGCCATTCTGTCACCAAACAAACCTCCAGTGCCGATGGCTCCAGATGCCAGCATCCCCCCACTCCCTCCTCAGTATCCCTGAGGCCCTCTTCTGGAGCTGCTTTTGTCCACTACTTCTAAAGATGAACTCTGGTTCGTTGTTTACGGCCTGTCACCCCCAACTCTGCTTTGAACTCTCTACAGGGGCTGTGTCTGCGTAAGAATTGCATTCCAGCGTCCAGGACATGCATGACAGACTAGGTGAGGTGCCAGCTGTGATGGGCTGGCCAGGCACTCTTCCCAGCATAGAGTGGAGGCAAGAGCAGCTGTGAGGCAATCCTCCCTCCACAAGCTGCAGTCCAGTTCATTCCAGAAACAGTAACTGAGCACCTACGCTGTGCTGGTTACTGTCTAGGCAAGGGGGACATGCAGCCTAAAATAGCATTTTCCAGACGAGGAGACAAATATGCTGGCAAGATCTGCGATGCTAGCAGGGCAGGCACTGCTGGAGACGCAAACCTGAGAACTGCCGCCGATTTGGCCCATTTTCCAAGCTCAGCATGAGGAGGTGACCATTTTTGAATTAATAGATTCCTATTTCCCTTATGACAGACTTTAATAGAACATCTCACAACGAGTTTTAAGTAAACAGAATTGCCCAGGAGTACCTTGATTCATAAGCATGATTAAAATGGCTTATTAAATGTGAAAGCCATGCACTATGCTCTGATGAGACACAGACAGCCAGGCTGGGGCAAATGTGTCTGTGAGAGTGCTGCCCACCTGCAGCCATCCTCCCCATACCACACCACACCTCCCAACCAACTGAGGCTCACAAAGGCACAGGTGTATGTTGAGCCCTCACCTATCCGAGGCATCAGAGCCACATTCAGACTTTGCTGAGATGCTTACTGATATCTCACCCACAGATAATTCCAAGCCCACAGGAAAACTACTTTCAGACCTTCCTGCTAACCAAGGACCGGTGTGAAGAAGTGGAGGGCACCAGGGCACTGCAGGCAGCAGACAGACTTGCAAGCCTCTCATGTGCTAGGCAGGTGGGTCTCTGGAAAGCGGTAGGCCTCCTGTCACCGAGAGGAATAAGGCTTGGTGCAAGGAGATTTGGGTTTAAGGCAAATATCATCCACTTCAAATGGCCAGCCTGGTGATACCTGTGACAGAGAAGGGAACTAAGCTCCACACTGGCTCATTCTGGAGGCCAAATGAGACACAGCATGTAAAGCTGCTATGCAAACTTGAGTGATCTATGTGAACACCAACCCTGGTGTGATGGTTAAATTTATGTCAATGTGACTGGGCTGCAGGGTGCCCAGATATTTGGTCAAATATTACTTGGGGTGTGTTTGTGAGGGTATTTCTAGATGAGATTACCATTTGAGCTGGTAGGCTGAGTAAAATAGACTGCCCTCCCCAGTGTGAGTGGGCCTTATCTGCTGCTCCACTGAAGGCCTGGATACAGCAAAAAAAGTGGAGAAAGAAAATTTGCTCTCTCTGCCCTGTCTCCAAGCAGGTGTATCAATCTTTGCCTTCAGGCTTGGACTTGAACTGAAACTTACACCACTGGCTTTCCTGGGTCTCCAGCTTGCTGTGGCAGATCCCAGGGCTTCTCAGGCTCCATAACCACATCAACCAATTCCTTATAATACGTTTATTTTATCTCTTTAGAAAAACAGATAAAAATACAAGCACATCCTATTTATCTCGTGTGTGTGTGTGTGTTTGTGTGCGTGCGCGAGCATGTGTGTGTGTGTCTATCTTTTATTGGTTCTGCTTCTCTGGAGAACCCAGCTAAAAATATCTAGTAATTCCCAGAACCACACTGATAGCAGGTAAAGTCTTGGCTAATGCCTGCTTTTCTTCCCAGCCTTCATAGTCTGGCACTGGCTCTTTAAACACAGCACAGTACCTGGCATGCAGCAGGTATGCAGTGGGGAACTGCTGAAGGAATGGATGACCTATGCTGGAGAGAATTTTACAACGTGCAATGTATTTTTACAGATTTAATTTTATCTCTATGACAACTCTATGAGGTAGCTCTTATGATCTCTATCTTACATCTAAGGCGACAGAGGTTCCGAGAAGCCAAGGAACCAGGCTAAAGAGTATTAGGTGGTAGTATTATCCATTGAAGGCCTGGACAGAGCCAAAGAGTGGAGAAAGAGAAAATCTGCTCTTTAAGATACAAGCTCAGATCTGTGGCACTCACTGACCTCCCTCCCTCTCCCGCTAAAAGGCTCTAAGCTTCTCACAGACCCCATGCTTCTCTCTCCTGGGGTTTGACTTCGACAGAGAGGGGCTGAATATAAGAATTAGGAGAAACCAGGAAACCTCTAGCATCAAAACAAATCACCAGACTTCCATCACGCTGGAAAACTTTCATCCCTCTCACGGCCTCATGGACGTCAGCTGAACAGGCAAGTAGGTGAGGGCTTGAAAGACTCCTTTGGGAGCTGAGGGCCCTTCACAGAGACCCTGGTAAATATTACTCAACAAGCTCCTCTATCCAGGGACACATTTATCAACTGAATGCAACTGCCTGCTTGGAGCTGAGAAATCGGCTTGTCATTCAGCGCTTTGCAAAGGGGAGAAGAATTGCCTGGGACCGGTATCAGCCTCCATTATCTTGCGGTTCTGTTCTTACTGTCAGCCACAGACCAAGCTCTCAGAATCTGCTGCTTAATGGGGTTGTTTCCTATTTCCTGACCCTTCAAAGTATTAACACTGAGGGGAAAAACAAACAGGCGATGTCACAGATAAGGGGATCTCCCATTTACAAAACAAGCCTCATATATCTATAGTAGGAGTCCCCAGTGCCCCGCCACCAGTCCTCACAGTACACCCACTCTCCTGCACCCATTTTTCTGATCGGCTTTAGAGACGGCACATCTGGTCACCACAGGCCCTGATTGAATTCACACTGCTTCAACAATGGTTACTGGGTGGGGCCCATGTGTAAGAACATAGGGGCTAAACAGATGAGAGTCACATTAGAGCTGCCTTCAAGGCGCTTACTATCTAGTATGACTAGTATTCTTAAGAGTTCTTCCTTCTTACTAGCCAATCCCTTTTGCTCCAATCTCTATTAAAGTTAACAATTCTTTAACTATTTCTGTTCAAATTACTGTACAGTTTCTTATTCTTGCTTTGATACTGACTGACACATACTGTATGTTAATTTAAAAAATAAGGCTGGGCCTGTAATCCCAGCACTTTGGGAGGCTGAGGCGGGCGGATCACGAGGTCAGGAGTTTGATACCAGCCTGGGCAACATGGTGAAACCTCATCTCTACTAAAATACAAAAAATTAGCTGGGCATGGTGGTAGATGCCTGTAATCCCAGCTACTCGGGAGGCTGAGGTGGAAGAATTGCTTGAACCCAGGAGACAGAGGTTGCAGTGAGCTGAGATTGTGCCACTGCATTCCAGCCTGGGTGACAGAGCAAGACTCTGTCTCCAAAAAATAAATAAAAATAAAATAAAATAAATCCTGCTATGACCAAATCCTGGGAGGAAGTCAGAAAACTAAGATAAGCTTTGGTGCCACACACTCACTCATCTGGTCATCAGGCTGACCAACCCTCAAAAACTCATTGTGTAACTAGTTCATGCCGGACACTCAGTTGGGGCTGGGATTACTTCAAATAAAGAATGCTTGTGCCCTTGAGAAGCCCAGAGAAGCTCCTAGATAGGCAGGCTAATATCTGCAACATGAAAAATAAATTATTACATAGTAGTACATGTATGTATAGAGAGACTGAATGAACAATCAGTACAGGATGAGTCGGGGAGAGGGCAAGAAAAGAGAGGAGGAGAGAATAAATATAAGGATGTGAATAAATAAACAGCGGCTGTACAGAAAGAGCCCCTGAAGCATTTAATCTCACGGCCCCAATTTTAGCCCCTATTCTGATGGCCATGATCTGAAACGGAGAAGAAACAATAGACACATTGGCTTTGCAGACAAAACTGGCGGGCATAGCTCAGCAGAGGATAACTTGAGGGAGAGAGGGCTGTGAGCTGGCTGGCAAGGCAGGAGGAGTGGAAAAGGAGGGCACTCCTGACCCACCAGCTGCCCAGCCCTGGCAAGCTAGGGAGGCACCAAAAGCTAAGGCTCTGCCTGTCTTTTCTTCCCAGTCTGCTTACATTCCACTCCTGTGTACCCAGCTCTGGACCCTTGGCCCTGCCTACCTGTCTTGCCCTCCAGACTTGGCCACACACTCTATTTCTCCTTCCCTTATGGGTCTCTAGACCTAAGGCTTCTGGCTCAGACGTCCTTCATGGGCCCTTTCTACTCTTGGAAAGGCCCATGACTTGACCCTTGTCCATCAGCCAGAGTCCCAGCTGGACTTCGCCCTAGTCCTTTGCCTGGAGTTGGCTAGAAGGTTGAGGTCTGGAGGTTATGGAGAACAGCGAAGGCAAAAGGTCAAAGTCAGTACAAGCTGGCCTAAGTGCAGGGCAACAAGGTATACCTCCTGGTGAGGGCTGAGAGGGAGCTAGAGGGAGGGAGCAGTCCAGAGGCAGGCAGTAGCTGCTTACGGTACCCACCTGCCCTGCCAGCATCTGTTCCAGAGACCCTGCAAGAAGCCCAGATCCTGCCTGCTCTGGGGAATATAAATCATGCTGTCACCAGAGGCAGTCTCCAAAATGCTGTTCACATGCAGCTTTCCCCAGAGAGATGGAAATGGCCCATGAATCAAGCACCTCGGAGCTGTGCCAGAGCTCATCCTGTTCTTGGGGACAGGGCTTGGCAAGAGGCTCCAGATAGGATTTTCATTTGCAAGCATGGCCACCTGATCTCTCCAAGAACACGCTCTCTGTCATTCCCCTGACAGTTGCAACTGAAGCTCCACAAGGCACACTTTTATTTATGTCTCAACATCTTTTTACTAACTCATTCTATCTCCATTCCCCACCTGCCTCCAAGCT